TTTTTTTTTTTACTAAAAGGAGAGATTTTTCGAGGATTAGGTACAAAATTGAGCAAAACTTCAATTCCGGACATGCGCACAAGCCAAAATTTGGACTTTGGACGGCTGAGAGTGCAGAAAACATCTCTGTTCTGAAATGAAATCGTTTCAAGGAAATCGCTTCGGCTGTCCACGCATCGCGCGAGTAGCATCCTCAGAAGAGCTGGGTACCATGTCTAAAAATAACTTAAGAGGGATTAGCTTTGTTAGAGGACCTATATGGGGGATTCACTCTCTTACCTTGATAATCTCTTGGATGTCTCCAGCTAGAGAGGCGATAAATGAAGTTAAAGCCAATTGGCATTGGTAAGAAACAGGATCCCATGACAGTACGAAATAATACAAAACGCAACAGTGAAATATATAACGAGATGTGACACTATTTAAAACATACATGAAGTCATTTCTAGTCCGAGATTTTACCACAAAGAAAGTAACGCTTCTATATGATTACCAACGCTTCAGTTAGCTAAGTTCGTACTAGGCGGGTGACCAAGTAATAAAATCTCCGTACGGTGGGTTCCCATTTTCTTTCCTATTTTAAGGGTAAAACCAGAACATAGAAGTTAATTTTTGAAATCCCTTTTATTAAAACGTAACTTAAGTTAAACCGCATCTTGTACCAGTGAAGATTCCATATCAAAAACGTGACATTCCCCACGCTACATGCGTTACGTTATGCGTTATTAGACACTTTTAGATAGATTTCCCTCGAACGACTAGCCACTAGGGATCACGTGACCAGAGCCAGACGTCACGTTTGTACTGTGAGATTTTTGACTGACGTTTTGAACAGTTGAGCGACTTGAACGTCAAGATGTAGGTGTTCACGTAAGACTTTTACCTCAAGCTTTATTGCCTTATTTGATACGGTAACCACGTAAAAATGCTGAAATCGAATAAAGTAACCCTTTTTCTACAATTCGGATAAATGTTTCAGGCATAGGCAATTACCTAGCCTTTTGTTGTTGTTTGTAGCAAGGCACTGATTGTAGCATAGTCTAAACGAGACTAAACGATGCTAACAAAACGGTTTTAATGAAGCTCATAAAAGCCCGCCATTACTAGCCGTAATACAACAACTACATCCGGGATACA